TATGGTAGAAGCATGTCTTGAATTGCTATGATAGAATTATTCAAAGTTGACATTTCAAAAGGATGAATTTGACCTAAAATGGACCAATATTTGACTTCATGTGATTATGAGAAAATGGAAAAATTTGATCATGAAACTTGGTAGATCATTAGATCTCATTTTTAGCTTTAAAATGAGTGATAATTCATTAAAATTGAAGTTTTGTACAAAAAGTTATGTACATCTAAAGTTAAGCATAAATTTTGAAAAATTGACCATATAAATAGTACATATTGACATGTAAATTAGACACACATGAGCTGGACTCATAACCTGAAAATATGAACTCATAAAGATCTCTCTGAAAGCTTCAAATGAAATTTAAAACTATCTCATTTCGATTTTTTAGAATTAGTTATGATTTTTAAAATTGGGCTAATATTTAGGGTCATAATAAATAGTAAACCGAGAAAGTCCATATTAAAATTTAAATTTTTTCGACTTAAATACTTAATGAGTGATTCTACTTATTTCTATTTGATGTAAAAAGAGGTTATAAGTAAAGGTGTTACACTTTTCTTCTCTATTGTAATTTAACAGTTCTATAATATTTCTTATCCTGCAGACAACATAATCTTTCATTTGTAAATTACCAAAAAAAGTTATTAACCAATATAAACTCTAATAGAAACAGAAAGATAAAATTGAATGGTATGAAAAATAAAAAAGAGGAAAGCACATTATAAAACTTTGTGTGAAGTTAAAAATTAAGAGATTAAAATAAAATTGTGTAAAATTAAAAGATTAAAAGTGCACTTTTGCGGATAAATGAATAATATTTAAGAGAAGGAAACTTTGGATGAGAAAATACTCACATGGAGGTAATTAGAAGGAAATAGGGATGGATGAAGAGAATACTCATGCGAGATCCATTTTCCATCTTGATGATTTCCGCTTTTCTCAAACTGAAATCTCCTCATGAATCCAATAACCACACTCTGATACATATTTTTATTATTATTATCAGGATTGTTGATTATGATCTCTTTGGCAATAGCTTCTCCTTTCCAAGACCCTAATCCCACCTTCCTCTCTACGTTCTTAGCTCCAGCATTCTTCCTCTTCAGTTTTGTCTGATTTAACCACATATTTACTAAAACGTTCCCACTCATTTCCATAAAGATCACACTCTGCGATTACACCTTTAAAAGGTAACTGTAATGACTTTATTGTAAAGATAGTCTCTAATAAGTTCACTATCTTCTGGACAGAATCTCTACCCAGTTGGCATCTTATATGATGAACTCATTTTCTTATTCCTTAATGTAGTTCACAGTTTCCCTCTCGATTAAATTGCTTGATCGATCAATTCTTAATTTATGGATAAGAATCTGGCTCAATATACAAAGAAGATTAGATAAGATTAAATATAATTAATTGAGTTATTTAAATCATGCATATATCCAGCCAATTTTAATTCATCTGCTATCAATTGATTCATAGTATACCTGCTAACAGATCATGGGGGGAAAAAACCATACTCTCAATAAAATATTCGCAACTATTTGAGGCCAAAAAAATTTAATGATGGTGATTACACCTTTATAACTTCGTCTGCCTCCTATACTTTTAAGCTATCCTTCTACTGTTCTAGCTGTACTCTCGTAATTTATAAATAATCTTGAGTTGGGGACTTGGGGGCTTTTGGGATAAGATATTTTGAAAACCTCATGAATATTATTGAAATCAACAAAAAATATTGAAATATAATAAATTTTAGATATTATTTAATTAATATCCTTATATAATCTTAGGATATTGACTCGTTGTTATCTCTTTAGTTAACTGAAAAAGGGGGAGGGCTTAATAATTCTTTGATATATTATCTTCTTATATATTTTGTATTATTTTTTATAGCCCACAATATATCTTTTAAATTTTTTGAGGATAATCCTCAGATATGTTTAGAAAACAATCCTTCAAAAAAATCCCCTATCTTGTATATTTATTTTTCTCCTTAAAATTTCCAAGCATCCTAAGATAATTCCTGAAAATATTCCTCTCTCTTTCTCGATCGAATGATTTTATTTATTTTCATGTATATATATGTACATATTTAATTGGATTAAGGTGCAATTTTAATCCCCGATCTTATTTCTCAGGTGCAATTTTGTTACTGACTTTTTTAGTGTTGCAATTTTAACCGCAGTCTTTTTTTTTGGGTGAAATTTCACTCAAAGATCAAAGATAAAATTACACTAAAAAAAAAGATCAGGGACAAAATTACACCATTAAAAGATTAGTGGCAAAATTGTACTTAAAAAATAAGATCAGAGTCAAAATTACACATTGATCCTATTTAGTTTATATTCATTTATTTTTTATAATTATTATTTTTGATCCTTCATTCTACATAATCCGAACACTTTGTTCACAACAACTGGCTGTAAATGTACGTATTAAATTATCATATATATATATATATATATATTTATAATGTATAGTAATTTCTAAACACTCATCTATCAAGTAATGTTTTTATTTGATATTTATGACATAAAATTGTATTGTTAAATATTATAGCTCTATAAAAAGATTATTAATTTGATAAGCGTCAGTATTAAATAAAAAGGAATAATAAAATTTGAAAAGGATCAAGTTTCTGGATGATATGATGTGCGAGTCCATGAATATATTATATATACTTTTGGTGTGGCTCCAAAATGCAAATAATAAAAGAAAATACTCTTCTATTTAGATATAAAACTCATTTTATAGTGCAATTTGCATTAATCTTATATGTAGGATTGGGGGACCCATTTTTTTTCCCTTTTCCTATCATTGTGCCCTTGACCTTATTGATTGAAATTTTTTCCTTTTTGGCCTGATATTTATATAGACATTCTAAAGTTAAGGCTTTTAATAATAAGATATTTAGAAAATTTCACGAATAATGAGATCAATTAAATGGTTCCTAGTTGATTATTGATTGATTCTGAAATAAATCAGTTTTAAAATTTTTTATTTGAACTAAGTAAAATCTTAAAACTAATTAGCCTTTTCTTATATTTTTTTTAAAAAATTTCTACTGTAGCCATAAGTAATTTATAACTCATATATAATATTAATGAAGGTTACTACAAACTTTGATTTTTCAAGTTTGTTTTTATTTTAGTTTTAGTCTCTCAAATTTTAAATTATAAGTTTTGGTTCATTAAGTTTCTTTTCATTTAAACCATTGATCCTTGTAATATAATAAAAATTTTGATAACTTTGCCTCTTGAAAGACCAAAGCCTGTCATTTGAAACTTAAAGAACCTAATATATTAGCCCTATTAATGATATATATAAATATAATAAAGATTATGAGAATTCAAATTCCTTAGCAATAAATAATGATTCTATACGTAACAATATGTATGAAGAGGGTCCTATGACTAATACTAAAACTTTTTAAAAAATTTTAGGGTGTGAGAAAATTAGTCAGTATTATCCTAGATAATATGGGCTTAACCACAAAAAAAAAAATTATGAAATGGATATTTTAAATTCCATGCACATCAGGTCTGCATCAAGTGAGATTGGCTGGCGATCATAGACGAAAGGTGTGGAGTTGGAATGGACAACCAGGGGAGATTGTGTTTGTCTATTTATGGTGATAGAGACGTCACGAAGCTTTACCGTACAGAGAGCCCACGTCCTCATTGCCGGCCTCATCTGATTTTCTGACATTTTTTTTCTGCCCCTGTACTTTTTATTAATTACTATTTTACATATTTAATATAAAAACTAGTCAATTAATTTAAATATTTTTAAAAATTAATTGAGTGATTTATTTATAATAAATAAATATTATATTTTTAAAAATATTTCTAATATTATAAAAACTATCTTAAAAAATAAATAAATATGAAAAATAAGATAAATTAAAATTTTATATTTAAAATTAAAAAAATAAACGAATTCTTATAATAAAAAATATAATTTTTTATTTTTAATTCTTCACATAACCCCACACATTTCACTGGTTATAAAAATAAAAAAAAACATAACCCCACTTTTCATTGGGAAAGCAAAATTAAGAATTTGAGGTTTCCTTTTATAATAATCTATTTTGTGGGAAACAGTTTTCTTAAATCATTTTTTCTCTTTTTAAATGATCTATTCTAAAATAAGGATTAATTTATATCATCTTTAATTTTTAAAATTTCACATCTCTTTTTGGAATAAAAAATACTGTTCTAACATTTAAAACTTTTTTAAGCTGATCAAAATAAAATCAAATTTTAGAAATTAAAACCTTTACTTTCAAGTTTTGAGGCAAAAACAAAAACAAAATCCTATTTTAGAAACTAAAAATAATATTAACCTTTAAAACAACTATGTAAACATGAATTTAATATTTATCATATTTTTTAAAGAGATTGTTTGCCATTAATTTTAGATAAACCACGCTATATTAAATCACTAATAATGCAATTGTTGTACTTATCAACATAAAATTGTATCATGTATAAGCTATTACAGCCTAGTACGTCCATTTCTTATTATAACACTAGCTGACTAATTTAAAAATATTTAAAAATTTACTAAATTAATTAATTATAACGTATTATATAATCTTTTCAACACATTTATGTGTATTATTAGATTATATATTAGTTTATAAACAAAGTAAATTAATTTAAAAAAGATAAATATAAAATATTTCAGAGTAATAAAATAAATTTTTTAACCTTCTTAAATTAACTAACTAAATTTTATATTAGACATCGAAAATAACAGAAAGAAGACACTGGTTTCCAAGGTTGCCAACAAAACATACCTTCCGGCCTAAATATAAACATTGCACTGTTCACCTCAAAATTTGTACGACGTGCAAAAAGCGAATCCCGTTTCAGCAATAACCATATAATTCTCAATATCAATCCATACGTTGAATAGTTATGAATGATCAGTTTATAATTAATTTTATATTGGCAATACATCAGTATACAGTACATACATTAATTCTTTCTCTTTTTTTTTTCGTATGGAATATATCAAATAACCACCACTACAGCGGGTGAATGAAGCTACGGCACATTAAGGCCGAGCATTGGGCCCTTTTTATACATGACTTTGGAATTCAAGCACAACACCATTGGATCCATGAATATAATATATCTATATATATATATATATATATATATATATATGCTCATTTGGTCAATTTATGTAATCAATACCTACTTACTTACAGATTAAAAGCAAACTTAAATTCTTATGAAATAATGGGAAAAAAAACTCCTGCATTGGTTAAATTTCACCCGCAAGAATGATAACCTCAAGAGTATCTGGTTCTGCTCTATAGTGCCTCATCGTCTCCCCCCCCCCCCCCTTCCTTTTCTCATTTAAATAAAGACAATCTGCAACGCACCGACAGTAAATTCAAGTTAAACTTCTAAGAATACATGCCACAGATCCATATCTGATCCTTAATTTCAAACACACATTGATAAAGCTAGTCTCACATTCAATGCATGCAAGAATACATATTCTAAATACACTCTGTAAAGACAAGCTGAAGTTCACTTTTTTTTTTTTAAGAACAATTATTACCAATTTGAGATTACAAGTAGGATCAAACCTGCAACTACTTCTCATTTATAAGAAATTCTCATGACAATAGGTTCCAAGGCAATTGGCTTTGTGACTTAATGTTGACTGTTCAAACGAGACAATGGTCCACCGATTCCCTAGCTCCTCAGAAATATTTCAGGAGTAAAAAATTAATTTTGCACTTTAATTCTCCTCATTACTTATTGATTAACACACGCAATCCTCAATATTTGACAATTCAGGACAAAGATATATTCACTAATTATCATATGATTTCAATGCTCCTCCAAACTGTTAAAGATCTGACTGCCAAAATTTACTTTTGTTTTCAGATCTTCATTATTATGTTTCTATATAAAACCAAGCCATCTTGTAATCACAAGTCTATTCACTATACCAGCAATATCATGAGAAGTTAACAACAGAGTCTTGCATTTTCTTGGTATGCTTTGATTATCAGAAAGCTCCAGAATGGACAGTTAAGTCAGTTATACTCACCCCAATCTGAGAGAAGTGTCTGAACTATCATCATCGTATGGAGGATCAAATATGCTGCCAATGTTGGCTGACTCAGACGACTGACCTCCTTGTTCTTGTGAACGATTCCTCACCTAAACACAGACATTTCCCATCTTTTAAGACTCTTTTTCAAAACAAGTGATTTGAGAACTAGATTGGACCAGCTGGTTCAACCAGTGAAGTGGACCTTCCTTTGATTTAAAATGCTTTCAAAAGCTTTCACCCAATAGTCAGTCAAATTTGGTCAATGACTTTATGTATACAATTTAGATAAACTAATTCAATAATGATCCATTCAATTGAGGATCATCCATTAACAGGGCAATAAAATTTAAATCAATTTCTTAACTAGTTCAATGGTATCAACACTAGAAACACAGAAATTTGACGGTTTACAATGAAAAAACAGTTTAAAATTCCGATCACCTGCTTTAATCGCTGATTCTCTACCACCAATTGGATTCTCTGCACAGACAAAACGAGCAACATTTTCAGACAAGTGAGGGAACCTAAAAGCTAGATATGTAGCTTTAATACCTGCGGATTAAATATGAAGATACAAACACAGACAAGGAATACTCAATTCAATCCATAGATGTCTTAGACTTGTTATTCTTTAGTCCATAGTGCATATTTCAATGAATTTTTTTTTATTATATCAAATATTAAGTAGAAGAATCATGTAGATTTTTTTTTTCAAACCTTGTACGTTAATGATTCAAATTCTCCATGTATGAATGGATTAGGAAGGGTGGGAAAGGGAAAGAAAGTTCGACGATGATAATTCTGTTTTTTTTCCAAGCTTCAAGTTATAACTAAACAAAAATATATAAGATTTCAACAATTAAATTTGGAATGTGCTTGACCTTTCTCTTGAGCGCATCGATCTCTTTCAACATTAGGTCATCCTGCAAATCACAAAAAGAACCATCTATGCAGATTAGTTATAATAATTTCTGGATATCAGCAAAGTGGCCCCAATAAAACAATCGCCAAAGCTTTTCTTTATAGTGTGTTTGGAAGGAGCAGTTTAAGGGAGAAAATTTGTTTGAAGGCATTTGAGCGAGACCTTTGGATAATCCCTTCTTTATGTTGGCAGAAAATGGATTTTTGAATTATTCCAGCAATGTATGGGAGTAATTTTGTTTCAAAATTAAAAAAAGAAAAAAAAGAAGTAGAATTCTACCACAATAGGCCATTTTTCAATATATTCTTCTTTGTCAAATTTTTGAGGGACACTCTCATGAGAACGGATGCTCTTGAGTTAGTGAAATCGAACATATACCATACGGGTACTTTAATTTGCGTTCAACTTAGTCAACTGCACAAATTTTCAACGTAGCTAGGTGTAGGTAATAGAAATCTAAAATAGTTTCAAATGCAAAAAGTTTGGAAATGAAGCTTTACCCAAACTAGAATTTCCAAAAATAATAAACCCCACACTTCAAAATAAATATTGGAGTTCGATCCCTTAATTGTCATATCAAAAAAATGAATGTAAAAACCTACAAATAGCTTCCTAATTACTTTTCAAACTGAAAAGTAGGTCTAGGAAGATAGGTTCTTCCATAATAGACTCTTCTTGCTATTGACAAGTATATATGTCATTTCAAAACTCATATAATTGACAAGATAAGCTTCTCATGGTCCCAACATATAACAATGTTGAAAGTTGAGGGACTTATCTTCATGTTTTGAAGGTTTGAAAGACTGTGTACAAAAATGATCCAAAATTCATGGAGATTCTTCCTTCCTTCTTTCTTCTTTCCTTTTTTATTTTCTATTTTTCTTTTTTTCTTCAACGAAGATACATATACAGATAAATATGCAACATAGAAGTGAACAAGACAATTCAAACCTTTGCCCTGACAACACGTTTCAAACCTCCTTCTAATTGCCCTCAACAGCTTCTGTAATTCATTTATATTCAATCCTTCAAGCTCTTCTCCCTTCAACTGCCTTTCAATTACAAGACATAGTCATCCCTAGTAGTACAACATTGTAGGTCTATGCATAGCGAAGGCACCAAATAAAAGCTTCACTGTATATATATGTAATAGCACATAAATACATATATACGTACTTCAGTTCCTGAACCTTATTGGCTTCTTCCTTGCTGAGCTTGCTGAAAGTGGCCCTGTCATACTATGCATAACATTTATGATTCATTAATATTAAATTTCAGGTGAAGCAAAAGTGATAGATATATCCATATACACAATCTTGTTTCTCTCTCTCACTAAATTTTCCCTTCGCTTTTATTTATAGTTTCATTCCAAACTATATGTGAAGG